CACCAAGGACCCCACAGTTGTTGTTGTTAGTCCTTCTCCTTCTCCTTCTCCACAACTCCCCTCTCGCACTGATGGCGTTGTCTAGTTGGGTCATGAAACGTCTGCAAGAAAACAAGCAAGCTCAGAGACCCATTCTCCTGCATTAGTGATTAGTACCGTATCTCCCCTTCCTCTGGGGCTGGGGGGGGATTCTATAAACCCCCTCCTCCTGAGGGGTCGGGAGGGGGTTGGGGGTCGGGGGTCGGCGACCCTTCATAACTGAGGGGCGCCCGCGAGGCCCCTCCCCCCTCCCCCTCCTCAGGCGGGCCGGTTTCCAGGGCGCCCGTGGCTCCGCCCCCCTCCCCCGCGCGCCCCTCCCCTCGGCCAAGATGGCGGCGGGCGCGCGTCTCCTCGGCGGGGCGCGAGGCGCGGTGGCGGCGGCTGCTGCTGGTGCCGCTGGTGGCGGAGCCGTGCGTGACGGGATGCCGGCGCCGTGACTGGCCTCCTCCGCCTCAGGTGAGCGGGGGAGGGACAAGGGAGGGCAGCCGGCCGCCCCGTGGTGGTGGGGGTCCCCGGGGGAGGGGGCGCTGAAGCCCCCCCAAGGTCTCTTGGGGGTCGGGGGTCGGGGGTCGGCGACCCTCACCATTTTCTGGAGGGGGGGTTCATGGGGGGGGCACCAGAGCTGGTGGTCCGGATGCAGAGCCTTCCTGGCTTTAGGGATGCTGCTGCTACTCCTATTAATGGACCTAGCAATAATAAGCTGCTATTATTATTGTTGTTATTGTTGTTGCTATTATTGCTATTATTATTATTATTATTGCTATTATCTTTGTTCATGAAATATGAAACTCAGTCAACTGAACATTCAAAAATGCATCACAAATACCATTGACTGGTATGTATGGATGTATGGATTGGTTGATTGACTGGTAATTATTGCTATTATTATTATTGCTATTATTATTATTACTGCTATTGCTATTATTGCTATTGCTATTATTACTATTACTATTCTTATTGTTATTATTGCTATTATTATTATTATTATTATTATTATTATTATTATTATTATTATTACTACTATTACTATTACTATTACTATTACTATTGTTATTTGCTATTGATGTCACCGGGACTGGGATGACGATTGTTAGGATGATCCTTGGGGTGGGGGGGAGCAGGTTTCTCAGCCTCCCCCTGCATCCCTGCCATGCTGGAGCCTTGGCACTGCCTCCCCCCCCCCAATCTCTTAGGGCACACAAGGACCTGGAGGTGCCCGATCCAGAGCCATGGGCATTTACCAGGGTAGCTCAGCAGGAGAAGCTGGAGGATAGGTGTGGATGATGGGGCAGGTTTCATTCATTCGGGGTTCCCCCTAGGAGGGCAACGAGGGGAAATCCCTGGGAAAGAGGGGGGGGCATTGGGAAAAGGGGAGGGGTTTCCCCTTTTTGGAGATGCCCACAAAAGGAAAGCCATATGGACCCCCCCCTCCTGATGTGCTGGGAGACATAGAATCAAAGCACTGGAAGAGACCTTGGAGGTCTTCTAGTCCAACCTCTTGCCCAAGGCAAGAGACCTTATTCCATTCTGGACAAATGGCTGTCCAGTCTCTTCTTGAAAACCCTACAAATGCAAGCATACCCTACTTGGTGGTGGGAGATGTTATGATCTTCCGACTCCCCCCCCACTCTCCATCAACAGAGTTGCTTCTTCCAGCTTTTTTCATCTCAATATACCTATCCTAAATTCTCATTTTGTCAGGCATTTTAAATCAGGCACAGGGCAGTTGTACGAGTCGATGCCCGTCCGCCCGTGCGGAGTTTCCCCGGGGGCGGGGGGAACTCAACCTGCATTTTAGACCCTTCCTCCCCTCCTCTCTCCCCACCACATCCAGGAAAGCTGGTTTGCCTCTTTTATTTTATTGTCATCGAATTTTAAGAGCCATCTTGCTCCTTCCAAACAAAAATGATTTGGGTGAAAATGCCAGCTTTGCTTTTTTGCTAAATGCAGTCCGTGTTCCTATTTCATGTAAACATAACAGCTCCGGTATATATCCGGTTCCATTTATGTAGAATTATAATTATAGGTTGGCTGCAACTATCCCATTCCTTGTATGTAGAATGATAATTAAATGTTGACTGTGTATATCCTATTTCATTTATATTGAAGGGCGTGAGTCTTCTGTTCCGTACAGTAAAGAAGCAGAAGATTCACATGCTTCAGTAAAGGAAGATAAAAACAGTTTAGAATATTGGCATTTTGCTGTGTACAAGAAGAAATCCTTAACTTTCTTGGGATGTATAGCATAAATGCTTAAATTACTCCGGCTTCAGACCTGAAAATTAGGTAAGCAGTTCTTGCTTTGCGTTGAAACAGGAATAAATATGCTTGATTTTTATTACCCGAGACTGAAGCAGAGGTTGAAAAAGATTTTCTTTGATAGTATTTTTAGTACAGGATTATTACTGGTTGTAAGTAGTAGCGGTGGTATTTTCAGAGTGCCTTTTAGGACGATTATTTATTTTTTTTGGAAAAAAAGATTCTTTCTTTGTCTTTGAGATAACTTACATAGGATTAGTAATTCGACACGTGGAAGTTTGCTATTGGAAAATAGAGCTGGGAGTTTAACTGCTAGAGTTGTTATGATTGTATGAACAGCACAATGACAGGCTTAGGCATTTGGGAATGGCTGTATTTATAGCGATAGGTAATTCTGTTGGTCTTTTATAAACACGTCCACAGGAGAAACTGAATTCTAATTCTGTAAGATCAACTGTCGCATGTGAATTTTCAGGTCCAAAAAGATTTTCTTCTTCGGAGAATATATTTAAATGTGTGAAATATGTAGTGGGGGAAGCTATTTGCTCCAAATTGAATTTACAGTATATTGGAAGGAAGGATACTATTTGGTGAAGATGGGGAGAGTGAGATACACAAGGTAAAGTTCTGGGATAGAAAAAGCTTTTACTGGGGACTGGAAAATTGGGAGGAAGCAGGTTAATAACACTACCTTTTGCGAACACCTTTCAAAATTATCAAGTGGTTATGCTTATCTACGACGGTAGTAAAGATTTGAACATGAAGTGTCAGTATTAGAAGGCATGTTAGGAATGACCAATGTAATCAGGGTGGATTTGATTTAAATCGAGTTGATTTAAATCACAATTTAAATCATGATTTAAATCACTAGTAAAAAGGCTTGATTTAAATCAACTCGATTTAAATCATAGTTTTTAAAGAGCAACTGTCATCTCTGCTACTCCTTTGACCCACTGTTGACTCACCGATAGTCCCAGTGTTGCAGAATATACAGCCTCGTGCTACATAACTAAGCTCCATTTCATGCTGAATAAACTAAATTATTTATGTATCTTAAATAGAAAACTATCTTACGATAGATTTTTACCCCAAAAGTTTTTTATTAAAATAAATTCGATAAAAATCAAAAAAATCCGATTTAAATAAAAAAAATCCGATTTAAGTCAAAAAAATCTGATTTTTTTGATTTTTTAAAAAAAAATCATTGATTTTTATCCACCCTGAATGTAATAAAGGAATGGGAATTGTCCAGAGCTCTGGAACAATTTGGGGGTTCCAGTGAGACCCCAGCAGTCCATCTTTTTCACCAGTCTCCCAGGAAATGCAAAACTGATTGGTTCGGTTTAACTCCCTCATTTACTCTTCTCTGTGAGTGAGGATGGTATATATGCTGTAATTTAATGTGTGTTGAGTAAAGGAGGGGATTAAACTATCTAAAATTAGACGCCTCAGTTTGGTTTGGAAGAGTCGTGATGTGATTTCCACCCCCCCTCCCCTTCATTTTCTGGTTTCCAATGGATACAGTAGCTTTCCTTTAGATATTTTTTTTTTTTAGTGTTTGACATTAGAGGAAATAGACTAGATAAATAACTTCCAAATTCATGTTAGAAATGGTTAGGTGCTTTAGTGTTTGTTATTCGTCCATGATCTGGAACTGTATCAATGTCTTTTTGCATTATTAAATGGCATGATAAATGGATTTTTGGAGTGTAGGAATAAATTTGGGTTTGGGTTTAGCTTTGTTTTAGCAAGCTTTTGTTGTTGTTTTTTTCTTTTTAAGATATCGCTATATCATTGGAGTCTCAAAGATCAGGAAGAACCGAGGTAGCGATTATCTACAGCTACAAATCATTTGTTGACATTGACTTTGATCTGCACTCTTGCAGCATCATAAACGTGGTGAAAAGTTTCACTGCATAGAGTGAAGAAAGAAATGTTTTGAAGTTTTTGCTCAGTAGGCCTGCAAATTCAGTTGAACCGCATAAAACTGATAGCTAGAGTGGATTGGATAAACATCATTCACAGCGGCTCAATCCAGTTTGCGAGCGGAGATGAAAAATCAAATGCTACCCACCCTTTTAATGAATCCTTAATTTATCAGAACGTTCCTCTTGCAGTTGAGAGGACTGAAAAGATAGGAAAAGGTACATGCATAAACTGGCCCATTTTCCACTTTGCTGCCTTTAATAGTACCCAGAATGTGCCCACTGAGGCCATTATCTGTGCCAACTCTTGATGATGCTTTCCCTTGTCTACATAATATCGGTTACTTCAAAATTAGTATTAGTGATTAGTGATTAGTATTTTTCCTCTAACAGAGCAGCAGTGTAAAGTGTAAAGGCTATGGGATTTTTTATGGTTATCCCTTCTTTAATAACCAGAAAAATCAGCAGGCCAGATACTAATAACACTTAACAGCTTGTTAATTATGGCAGCGGCTTTTGGAACCCTGCTAATCTCATGTTCTATTTTTTAAAAATGCACAAATGTTTCTTGGACACAACCCCAGTCAAGATTTATGTTTCATATGTATTCTGGAAATGTTGAGTGGGTGGGAGGTATGGATTTCGCTCTTGAATTTAATGTTTGAAGAGAGCCAATTAGTGAAATGATACATTAGATAGTTTAAAAAAACATTACAGTTCACATCTAGTCCCACCTTTTGCTATCCAATATTTTCTTATTTTTCATTTTCTCAGTTATTAAATGGAGAACAGCAAGGATCTAATCCTGGAGGGATTGATTTTGGTAATGGACATGGACTTTTGCTTGTTATGGCTGTCCAGTCTCTTCTTAAAATTCTCCAATGTTGGAGTACCCACAACATGTGGAGGCAAGTCGTTCCACTGGTTGATTGTTCTTACTGTTAAGAAATTTGGTTGCTTCTCTCTTTGTTCAGTTTCCATCCATTGCTTCTTGTCTTGCCTTCTGGAAAATAAGTTGACCCCCTCTTCTTTGTGGCAGCCCCTCAAGATCAGGAGCCTGAGTGGCATAGGAGGCTAATGCCTTCTACTAAGGCAGCATTTAACATCCAGCTGCCTGCAATTACTGCGAGTTCAATTCTCACCAGGCTCAAGATCGACTCAGCCTTCCATCCTTTCTAAGGTGGGTAAAATGAGGACCCAGATTGTGGGGGCAATAAGCTGACTATATAAAATATACAAAAGTATGAAGGCTATTGCTTAATGCATTGTAAGCCGCCCTGAGTCTCCGGAGAAGGGCAGCATATAAAAATAAATAAAATAAAATAAAATACTGGAACACTGCTATCATGACACCCCTCCTCTTCCTTTTCCCTAGACTAGACATACTCAATTTCTGCAAGCATTCTTCATATGTTTTCGCCTTTAGCCCCTCCAGTCATCTTGGTTGCTCTTCTCTGCGTTCTTTCCAGAGTCTCAAGATCTTTTTTAATATTGTGGTGACCAAAATTGGATGCAGTATTCTAGGTGTGGTCTTACCAAGGGATTATAAAGTGGCAGTATCTAAGTATCTTGTGTTGACTCTTAAAAATAAAGACTTAGGACAGAGGTCCCCAAATTTGGCAGCTTTAAGACTGGTGGACTCCAGCTATGCTGGCTGGAGAATTCTGGGAGTTGGTCCACCAGTCTTAAAGCTGCCAAGTTTGGGGACCCCTAACTTAGGATCTTGTGGCTCAATCATCTAGGGCAGGGGTCAGCAACCTGCGGCTCTGGAGCCGCATGTGGCTCTTTCACCCCTCTGCTGCGGCTCCCTGTCACTCAAAATATGCGTCATAACCGCCAATGTGCGACACCCACTGGCACATGATTTATTGAGCTTTTCAACCCACAGTAGGCCAACCATGGATAAATCCAAGAAAAGAAAAGTTTCAGAAGAAAACAGAACGTTTAATTCAACTACATAGGCTAGTTTTGTGGTTGCTCAAGAAATAGTCAGGCACGGGAAGGGTTTTGTGGCTCCCGGTGTTTTCTTTTCTGTGGGAAACGGGTCCAAATGGCTCTTTGCGTGTTTAAGGTTGCAGACCCCTGATCTAGGGGAAATATTTTAATTTTTGCTCCGGAGTAAATACTGGCAAGTGGCACCTTTGATTTCAGTTCATCTTGGGGATGAACTGAAGCAACTAAGGGGAGCAGCTAAGCTATTCAGTTGCAAGGCAGGGCTCCAAGAGAGTACAGTTGTGATAACAGGTTTTGGGAGGGAAGTCATATAAGGCTGTAACTTGACATCTGGTCTTGTTCTGGCAAAGTTAACTGAATAATGAAAGCTTTCCTTGGGGCTTCTGCGCTGAAATGTAGTACCAGATTTATTTATAGGGAAAAATGCAACCTTCCCAGCAGGCAACGCGAAAAAATGTCAAGGGCAGCAAAGATTTCCTTTCTTGTAATCTACTTTCCATGTTGATGAAATTCATTCTTGCACTTCGTAACATTTAAATCTTCTGAAGATGTAAGATTTGTTGGCCAGTCAGTTCATCTGGCATCGGTTGACAGATGGGTTGGGTGTACTTCGCTGAATGAGATGGTTGTTGGGTTGTGGCGCAAAGGAAGGTGATTTTGTAGCCCAGGCTTGTTGCAATCGAATAAACATTACGGTTGTATGTTTTGTTTTGTTTTGAATAAGAAACAAAAATTGTTTTATTTATTTATTATTTATTTTTATATGCCGCCCTTCTCCGGAGACTCAGGGCGGCTTACAATGTGTTAAGCAATAGCCTTCATCCTTTTGTATATTTATACAAAGTCAGCTTATTGCCCCCACAAATTGGGTCCTCATTTTACCTACCTTAGAAAGGATGGAAGGCTGAGTCGACCTTGCGCCTGGTGAGAATTGAACTCGCAATAATTGCAGGCAGTTGGATGTTAAATGCTGCCTTAGTAAGAGGTATTAGCCTCCTATGCCACTCAGGCTCCTTTTTGTTGGTGCGTGTAGTTGTATTCTGCTTGTCAACCGGAAGGGAAAGAAATTAGAATTTAAATTTGGAATGCCCCCCATCCCATGGAAGTTAGGATATGTTCCTTTTAATTCATGTTGACCAAATAAAAAGAGGAAAAAAATGGGGTAAACCAGATGAAAGATCTGCTCTTCTGTCTTAAATAATCCTATTACTTTGTGTCTGATCATCAAGACAGGGTTGAACAGAAGGGAAAAAAACAGCGTTGGGGTTTAGGGCCAGTTGATACAATATCCAACAATGTATTTTGAAGTGTTTCTTAATTACATTGTTGGCATGCTAATACTATTCATTCATCTATGTAATTCCATATGTGTGAATATTAGGTGGCTGTCTACTTCCTGAACCAGGCAGCTATGTAGGTTGCTACTGTATGTGTAAATGAAATAGAAATAGAATCATAAATCTGAAAGGGACCTTGGCGGTCTTCTAGTCTAACCCCCTGCCAAGGCAGAAATCCTCATTCCGTCCTGGATAAATGGTGGTTCAATCTTTTCTTGAAGACCTCCAGTGATGGAGCACCCACAACTTTTTGTGGCAAGCCGTTCCACTGGTTAATTATCCTCACTGTCAGGAAATTCCTCCTTAGTTCTAGGTTGCTTCTCTCCTTGATTAGTTTCCATCCGTTGCTTATTATTTTGCCTTCAGGTGCTTTGGAGAACAGCTTGATCCCCTCTTCTCTGTGA